AAAACAACGTCGCAAATATTTCGCATGACGATACCTTGAATTATTTTTCATTCGGTAGAAAAATACCTTTGAAATTGTGCAAACAGAAAATATTAACGTGGAATAAAATTTATCGTATTTGAAGGATTCTGTGAAACACAAAATTCCGATTTTTATATCCTCGGTCACTATTTGCTCAATTTTCTAAATATCCGAATATTTTTGTAACGTAACTTTAAATAATAAAAAAATTACTTAATATTACCTAATCACACGTTTTGATATTAATCTGACTTTTAAATTTGTAAATGATCGACATTTCATTCGCTACTTAATTTCGGAAAAATTAAATACTCCAATATGCAAATTGCACTATAAATATTCATTAATTAATTAATTAATGGGCCTCTGATTACAATAAAAAAAATTAATTCGCAAACATAGTAATAATAAAATTAATTTAGTATAAAAATTAATAAACGAAAATAAAAATAAAAATGGAATCTACAAAAGTGAATAGTATGATAAAAGAAATACAGAAATATTTAATGGACCCTTCATCACAACAAAAAAAAATTATTTCCAAAATATAACAATAATAATATTGACTTTATATTGTAATAAGATTAATAGATGAAAATAAAAATATCTACAAGCTCGAATACCGTGGTAGAAAACTACAGAAATATCTGACTGAATTCTACCACAATTGCAAGCAGTCATCTTCGACTCGCATAATTCATAACCCAAGGCTTTGCTTCATACTCGAATTAGTCAGAGTATCGTTAATCAACGGGTAGCTTATACTCGGTTTATTCGCAAGTTGCAAATTCGTTTGCGACGTTATCGAACGGTAGCCTGAAATGTCAGCAAGCGTTTAAAAGCCACTTTAATCCGACCTTTATTTCGTTGGGCATTTGGTTGAAATACTCGGCTCGAGAAATCACTAAAAGCTTCAAAGAGCGCGTAATCCAATTTCCAATGAGAATTGAATGTCCGCTATATCTAACCAGCTACGTGGACGTGACCAAGTTTTCAATGCTACCGACTCGGTTATTATTCGAACTCTTATTATTTGCTGAGAAGAACTGCATGGACAAACACACATGAATAAACGACACAGAATAGGGATTTTTCTGTTTACCGTTCTATCCTTTTAAGATTATTTTTCTATTTCCCATTCTCTTTATAACATACATAATTTATAATTTGAATTTTTTAATTTAAAAGCCAATGAATTATTTAAATATAATTAAATACATAATTTATAATTTCAATTCTTTAATTTAAAAACCAATGAATTATTTAAATATAATTGAAGACATAATCTATAATTTCAATTTTTTAATTTAAAAAGCAGTGAATTATTTAAATATAATTGAAGACATAATTTATAATTTAAATTTTTTAATTTAAAAAGCAGTGAATTATTTAAAGGTCAGTATTATTAGTATGTATTAATACTATACTATTACTATAATATTTTATTTATTATGTGTTATTATTATATTATATATAAATAAAATTTTATATTATTGTTATATAAGAGAATGAAATTTTATTCCAATATAACTGATATATAGGTGAAATAAAATTTTATTATTATATAATAAAACACTGTGCTATGGATCAAATTTTAGCATTATAATATTGCTATATATATATACCAATATGAATTAAATTTTTATTTACTAATTATATAAATAATTATGATAAAATTAAATTGATTTATATTTTTACAACTAAATATTAATTAAATGCCTTTCTTTTATTTAAGTAGCCATTTTTAAAGCCTCTTTCTACAATGTTCAATATTCTTTATTAATTCAAACAGTGACTTTTAGTTCGAGGGGACAATCTCATTGAGCATTTCAGATTCAGATGACGTCGAGTCTAGAATCGCCCGATTCTTTTCTTCGGATTTCCGTACCAGGATCACAAGATTGTTTTTCACGTAGTAAAAACTGATTCCACGGATTCTACTGTATACTAAAGCAGGGTTCGCGATCTCTTGTCGTATAATCATCCCGGGTACATGGGAGAATTTAGAATCCTTCTGGACTTCTTTGTACTTTATTAGCTCGAGTTCTACTATTCAAATATTGCCCTTATTTCAACTTCTTTCCAATTTCTCTTTTCTCTTTTCTCTGAGAATCAAGTATAATATTATTGCATTTTTTCATTGACCAATTCGCAAGCAAAGATAGAATAACATAAAGAATTCAAAAATTATTTTTATGCATTTAGCAAATTAATTACAAATTAATCGAAATTTTGGAATTTATTCGAAACATATTTTTATTTTTATCTTTCATATTTCGAACATATTTTTAAATTTTCATTTAGATTTACATATATATTTATTTTTGTAGCACTTTGTTAATATATTATAATTATGTTATTATTTTATGCCTATATACAATTCTATTATAATATTCATAATTGTATTATGATATTTATATGTATATTATAATTGTATATAGGAGGCAAAATGTAATTCTATTATAATATTTAAATATATTTACGGACATAATTGCATTATGATATTTATATGCATGTTGTATCTCTATTTATTATAATTGCATTATGATATTTATATGCATGTTATATCTCTATGTATTATATAATTGTACATACAAGTCCAAATATAATTCCATTATACTATTTATACATTATATGTACGTTAAAATTCTATATACGAGTATAATTCCATTATAATTTTCACATAATTCTGTTACAATATTCACGTATTATCCCTCTAATAGCAAAGTGCAGTATCACATATCCCATTTAAAACTATCACAAGTCTCGCATTCTCAAATCTCGCTAAGGAAGCATTAATAAAAATAAAAAAATGAGTCATTATACTAATGAATATAAAAAGATACAACTAAATACCCATTTCTTCCATCTTTAAAAACCAAACTAAATAACTCTGGCAACTTTCAAATTCCTATATCAGTGACACAACTCGGTACCTTTTCCTTTCACCTTTTCTTTCCTTTTTAACCATAAAACTGAATAACCCTAATGACTTTTAAATTCCAAACTCGTATCCTTCTACGCTAACCAACCTAAACGACAACGTCCAATAAAAAACGAAAAAGAAAATAAAAATATAGAAAACCTACGCTACTATTTGCAAACTGTTCGCATTGAATTATCCTAGACAGGTTTTCCAAGAAAATTTACAGCAACCGCGACGCAAAAATACACGAGGGAGCCATCGATTGACCCAACGTTCTTCCTCGGACTCCGGCGCGTCCATTAACAACCACGAGACATCTAGCGGCGACATTGTCCGCGTGGCGATATTAACAAGCGCGAGACCGATATATAACGCGAGAAAGTTAGGTCATAACGCGATGCTGAATATTTCTGGAACGTCGACGAGTGCCAGCGTGGCGTAAATACGTGCATCGCGATGAAAAGCTGCTCGAAGAGGCAAGTTTTCGCATTAACGAAAAACGTGGACCACGTGCTTGAAGACAATTACGAACGCTTCGACGGGAGATCCACGAAATTCCCCGTCTTGAAAGAATTTGCTCGCGAAACGACCATTTCGCTTTATGGTTCTTGGCCTTTGTCTAATTGCGAACGCGAGGTTCGACGTTAAAGCGTCGTGACGCCTCTGTGTCGCCGAGAGAAACTTGTTACGTTTAATTAACCGTGTAATTAGTCGAGTGAGTTATTACGAGTGTCTGCCGAGGAAAATGTTCGGAAAGGTGTGGTTGGGTTTGTTTAGAGATGTCATTGTTGCGTTGTCTCCTTGGAAGAAGAGTTTGGTACTACTTGTACTCTTTATCCACACGAGAGATTCTGTGTTCTCCTTACAACAGAAGGAGGAATTAATTTCTCCAGGAACAATTGTATACTTTAGGTCGTTGCAGAAGCAAAAATTCTTAATATATACTTGGTATTGTAATAGCGAGCACGATGACACATCGCGTAATATCATTTCGCAGAGAAGAATGACACGAATTAGGTCTATAGATCAGAGTCTAATTGGCATCATTCAATACGGCTAGTCGATACAGCCATGAAGAGTGCAGTTAACGATTCGCGTTGATTTGACTCTCGAGAGTCTAATTCGTGTAGTAATTGCATGAGAAGATATCATGCGGTAGGTCATTGTATTCATTTCAACGAACTATAATCGTGAATTAAAAATATAGCATTTCGTTTAAAGAAGACAGCTCGAGTATGATATTTCAGCCATTGATTTATTCACAGAAAAATTGTCTGACCTTGTTCTCCTTTGTATTAAATAATTCTTCTCGCGATTTTAATTTCTAGCCAGGTAATTCAGTCTTTGCAATTAAATAGGACTTGTTCTACTTTTAACACTAGATTTACAGCATCTATCAATTTGACAGAAGGGTTGCTCCAATTATACGATGGTAACAGATTTAGTTAACTTATATTAAAACTGTTAATATAATATATAATTGTTTTTAAATTAAATTAATCGTTAAACGAAAAAAGGCACGTGGCATCCTTTACCTGTCAATTTGACAGGTGTTCTTAGAAATAGGTATACAGATAGCGTTAATTAAATTTTTATCATATTGTGATAATTTATATTAAACTGTCTATGCAATTTTAGTTCAACTGGTATAATTTTTGTGGTTATACCGAAATCATGCGAAATTTTGTTCAGTTCAAAGAAGCTCACTACCATAGGAAAAACAGAAGAATTTAATATTCCCTTATATAGCGTGTAATATTAAAATAAAATTGAAAATTATCTATTTCATATCCTAAAGAAATTCTTGTAATACGATATTTTGACATTAATGAAGAAATATTCCTAAATAAGAAGATAACGAGAGAGAAAAATTTGAAATGAAATGAACATTGTATTCTGTACGAATTTTAAAGGAAAACAAGTACGACGTGGCACAAAAACGAAGAACCCATTCGTTATTTTCAGCACATTGAGTTCCGTCACGTCAAAGCATCTTTCAGATTTCGCAACACGCTTTCGCATGACAAACAGAACGACAAAGCTTCAAAGCAGTTCATTTCTTACCTTGCGTGTTCCTTTCCTTCTTCCTGCGTCGGGGCCTCCTCTTTTGCACTTTCTCCGTGTAATTAGATGACGACGAATCGTCGCAGCCCGCCACTTCCTGTCTCTCAGCTATCTTCCTCGCCTCCTCCTGTCTCTTCTTCAACAGCTCGTACACTCTGTTAAAATAGTCCCTAGCGATATCCTCGTTCGACTTGTTCATCAAAACACCTTCTCCACTCTGAGGCTCGAAACTGTCAACTGTTGCCCCAACCGGCTCTTCCTTCGAGCCATTTGCTTCCACGTCCTCTCCAATCCCTTCACTGCCATCCACAATCTTAAACGTGTCGCTCTTCTTCACGTTGGAACAAGTGTACAACTCCTTGTAATCATTAAAAGTCTTCTTAGGAATCGTATTGTAGCCACAGTCCGGAGAATTCACGTTGGACGAGTCTGTCTCGTGGGTCTTGCCCTGAACCTTCGCCAGTATAAGGTTCTTTGACACCTCGGGCTCCCTATCGACGACCAAGTAATTCTCCTGCAGACTGGTACTGGGTCTATCATTTGTGGAATCGTTGGCGACCACGTTGGACGAGTCGTTGGCTACTCTATCCTTCAAAACCACCTGCTTCTCGATGCTACCCGAGCGTTTTCGAAGAGGATTCACGCAGTTCTGAAGGTTTTGACAGATCTTACAGTTTCTGAAAGAGCACAGGTCAGCCTGCAAGTCCTTCCACCTAGGTTTGCTCATGAAATCCTCTTCCTTCACTTCCCTAGTCTCTGACTCACGGTGCAGCCTCTCGTGCTTCTTCCTCTCCTTGTATTCTTGCCAGGACTCGTCCACAGTGTCCTGACTCTTGACACGCCTCGGAGGATTCTCCTGCTCCGAGTCCAGGCTGCCTCCCATCTGGCCCAGCAACACGTCGCTCCTCGTTTTTCGGTAGAGTTTCCGTTTCTCGGTGGGCTCCCTCGTTTGGGAGCCCTGTCGACGATTCGTCCCAGTCGTTTCCGCGGCCTCGAGGATCGTCTCGCTCCTGGAACGCCGGCACGCTTTTTGCCCGAACGAATCCTTGGAACGCGACCTGTCGGCCCTCGACGATCTCTCCCTCTCGACCTGCCTGCCTGCTTTCTGCCTGTCCTTCTGAAGAATCTCCGGATCGAACCTGATGATGCTCGTCTCGCTGCGCACCTTTCGGGTGCGATAACCTCGTGGATCCTCAGGCTGCCTGTAATCCGAGTACCTTTTCTGAATCCCGGCCCCCGATCGCGCTTGAGCCTCGCATCGACTCGAACTCCGCGATCGTTCCAGCTCCATCCTCTGCTGGATCTTCCTCTGAAGGAACGATCTCACTCTTTCAAACTCTTTCCAATTCCTCGTTCCTGATCTTCCGACTGTCATCGTCGTCTTTCCGCTTCGAGTTCTCCTCGCTAGCATTATCGCGTATCGAGTTGCATTCTGCAAGATCGTTACGTCCTCCATTCGCGTTTCCAGATTCTCGTCTTCTCTCGTCTTCGTCTCTGATAGCCTGTCGAAGGCGAGTCAGGCCATCTTTGATCCTCTGACTTCGGACCTCGTCCTCCGTCCCGTTAACCTTCGACCTCGATTCCTCGCCACGCTCTACCTCCTCCACGTGGACCAACCTCGGCAGAATCTCGCTCTGGCTCCTCAGGTAGGCCTTCACCTTCTTGCACCTCTCCTTCGCGATCTCCTCGGGACTCTTGCCAGCGGTGTTCCTTCTTCTAAGATCGTCTATGATCTGCTGCCGCAGGTAATCGCCGGTCGAATATTTCTTCGAGCTCGTTTTCGTTTCCTCGTTCTGCTTCGAGCTGTTCTCCGAGCCACCGGAATGTCTTTGCTTCCCCTTCTTCTCTCTCTCCTTCACCGTCACCTCGCTCCTAGATTTCCTTGGCGCGTAGCCGAACTGACAAGACCCGAACTTCGTGCTGAAGCCGTCGAAGTTTCGGTTACCCTGGACCGGAAGCTGGACAGTCGGACTGGGTGCGGATGATGAAGAGAAGGAGGAAGAAACGGTGGAGGGCTTCTCGCTGGCCGATCTACTTGTAGGGAACTCCTCGTGCGACTTGAGACCCTCTCGAAACGAGCCTCTGGCCCGCTGAGCCGTTCGTCCAGTCGTCTCGACCAGCAGACGACCATCCTTGTCCAGCAGCTGGATGACAGGAAGCGTGTCCGCGGACGTGGTCAGCTCCCACTCCCAGTGCAGCGGCTTGTCCAGCTTCAATCTGATGATCGGTTCCGTAGGTTCATTGGAAGACGAAGAATCCGGATTGACCAGGCTCGACGACGTGGCTGTTATAATCGGGTGAGCGTTCTTCATGTTTCCGGTTCTCGCGCTCCCGTGCACACGCCGAGGCGGTTTTCGTTCTTGCTCAGGGTTCGATCACCTCCTGGCTACGGGGGCCACCATAAACTTTAGGGGCACCTTAACGATTTCAGCGAAGCGATCAGCCTGACGTTTGAATCCGGTAAACTCGTGTTGCACGCTTTTTCATATACACCGAGGAAATTATCGTATTACTCGTTAACGGGTTCTCGATTCGTTTATTTCCAACGATATTTATCCGTTTATTTTTACTTCAACGTTGGTCGGGGTCTGCGGTGGAATTTAAATGTAATTTTCCTCCGATTTTAAACTTCGGGGCATAAAGGTTTATCGCGTCACAGAAGATCGGTACGATTCGAGCTGTCAAAACGAATGATTTATTCCCCCCGACGAGGGATATTCACGGGGATATCAAGATCGATATCTAGACTTCAGCAAAAAGTCTGCCGGCGTTATTCTCGAGCATCAACTTCGATTTACAAAAGGCGTAACAGTGTTATTTCCACGAATATCAATATTGAGACGTTCATTTGGACATTTATCGCGTCGATCCTTCCTGTAAACTTCGGACAAGTACGCGAACTTGCCCAAAAATGTACAACTAATAGTCACCACTATTTTCAATCTTGCAAACACATTCGATGTTCACTCGACGATTATTTCAAATGTAATTCCAAATTGCTCAACGATCTTACTTGAAAAAGTCACAAAAAGTTATTCTGTCTCACGAGAAAACGTTCATTCAGACTATTCTCACACTAGACTCGCACTAGTATGCTCACTCGCTGTTTACTCCCGATCCGGTTAATCGATCGACCGATACATCGAGGATCGAGCTATCGAGCATCGTTCCACATTCGCGTTTGCTTGTTCACCGGACCACGTTCCGACTCGCAGGTTACTCCGGTGAGACGCGGCCAGCATGATATCCGCCGCGCGTAAAACAAGATCGAGAATTATTGTTCGACGGAGAATCGGGCGGGCGTTACGTAACTCGACCTCAGAAGCTTGGCAGCCTGTCAGAATCGGGAGAGTTTCACTTCGGGATGTTTCCGAAGCGGCTTCATACCGTTTCGCTATTCCGTTTCGCTATGTTTGCGTTTATTATTCACGGATCCGCTCCGCGGGGTTTTTCCCTCGCTGCTAGGGAGAGCAAAGAGTAAGACGAGGGGGGTTCTTTGCCTTTGGACGAACAGGTAACACGACTGTGTGGAGATAATAGGCTACCGTGGAGATCTAACCGCGGGACATGAGAGAAAAAGCCAACGGATGAGTCCCATTAAGAATATTCGAAGGTGGTTAGAGAGTCTCCTAACGGGTGGAATATTTACTCACAGGGGAATGCTAAGTCTGCTGGGTGCTGAGGAACTGATACTCTGGGAGATGGAAGTAGGTCAGAAGAAAATTTCGAAATTTCTTTGAATATTTTTAACTATTGGGTAATTGCGTTAGAAAACCACCGTTTTAAAATTTTGCTGAATGTAACCGGTACTATTTGCATTCTCTCATATGCAGCATACGCATCGACTGACAGTGGTGACAACGTAGAGGACAAAAGGTAACTTATATTTTTATTTTATTTCGAAATTCGTACGAAATGTTGCGAAATTCGTGTTAGAAAGTGACTACGTTCGAATTTCGACAAATTTAGAGTTACGAGTTACATCCCAAATAATTTAGAAACTGAGCTTCGGAATGTATGTAGATATTTTCAAATACTGTAAACGCGATGTTAGAAAGCGACTGTCTTGGAAGTTTCGCAGACATAAAAATACAATGGTCATAAATTATTTTTGGATTTTATTACGTGGTACAAATAGCTGGAAACTTTCTTAATACTTCCACAAACTTTACTACCTGATGTAACCTCTGCGAACAAGAATCACGTTACGTATGCTGCATATAAGAATAATTAACAATTGCACTCGATGACTTTTTGGTTAAAGAAGAATAGGAGTTCAAAGATTATCTGGAATAAAGCTGACGATATTTTTCTGAGCAGTAAATAAGACATAGTGTAATAATTAATATATGGAATTATATGATTTCGATATTTCACGCATCATTAAATTATATTAAAATTGACATCTTAACCCTTTCGATAGATTAAATTTCACTGATTTAATAATAAGTCTAATAGAAGGATAAATTTCTAGGAGTAAAGAAAATTTTCATCGAAATCGATGAAAAATTGTCCAAACTTAGGCATGGAGAAATTTGAAAGAATTCTGTATAGGAAAAATCTCCAAATTAATAATATATAATAAATAAATACTTAATACTTCACAAAAATATTCAAATACATAGAAATAGAGAATAATAATGTAGAATTATTATTGCAAATTATATACCCAAGTATTGAAACATAAATTATGGCTTTGCACTCTAAAGGTGCCTCTCAGTCGCCATTTAATCAGATTCTAAAGATCATTGTTAATCAATATCTGGAATTAAAAATTTTTCAACAACGCGTGGTATATGGAGATAAAATAATTCTACGTTTTACAATTAATTTCCACTTCTTATTTACCATTTTGAAAATACAATAAAATAAATATTTTATGGCAGAAAGTCTTGGAATTACTATGTTTCTCTAACGAAAAGATCGTCGAGTGCAAAGGGTTAATTAATATCGATCTTCGAAATTTTATCAAGTGCAAAGGGTTAAACACCCTAAATATATTCAGTCCAAAGAACAACATATTTTCCAACAAGTCCATTTCACCAATCTAATCACTAATCGCTCGAAATTAAATATCCCAATTGCTCTTCATATTTTCGGATACTACAAAATGGATCGAATGAACCATCCCTTGAAACTTCGATGGACCTAACGACACGACTCATCGTCCCAGCAGCCAAATGATTACATTTCGACACCTACGGTGTGTACCGATTGCAACTCGCTTCGATGAACTGCGTCAATAGAATCCCATTGGAAAACACAACTGCCACTCGGAGCGAAACTTTCACAAGTCGAACTCGAGCCCGCGGAACGAGAACTTGAACCGGCACGAGCAACAACTTCCTTCCACGAACTCGGCCCGTTCTACGAAGAACGGGGAAAAACGAGTGGCGAAGTCAGAAGCATAATCGAAGCACGTCCACCGAAACGATGCGCGACGAGGACATTGAAATAGACCGTCTGGCAAGAACGTTGCAACCGTTCACCGTTGGTCCGTGCATCGGTACTGAGCGACGCGAGAAATGGCGGGCGGTTCTCGCGGACGCCAAAGTACGCGTGTTTACAAGCAGCCGGTTATAAATAATCGCGCGTGAAATCGCCGCTCGCCGTCGAGATTTTTCCAGCCGGAGATCTCTGCCCGGTATACCTCTTCCCGTTCACGCCCGTGCTCGTTTAATACGCCCACGCGTTCCTGGAAAGGAGTGCCACACGGTTACCGAACGATCTCTCCGCAATCGCTGACCAAATATCGCGGCCGGAACAACGAGGCCCGATAGCCCACGAGTCGAGGCAGAAGATCAATAAACGAGCGGCTCGAAAGGGACGACGAGTTTCCACGAGGCTCCCTTCTTCCACACTGACTTCCCGCCTCAGACAGCGAACCACCGGAGCAGAGGACCAAGGTGTCCCGGTTTCCATCGGGGCGTCCCGCTAGCCACTGTACCTACACATCTCAAAATATCTCGGAAGACATAGCTGGTGGCCCGTCCGAACGAAAAACTCGTCGCCATGCCACGCGGGCCAGCCACGATGCTCGTCGATTCTTGACAAACGGCCAACCGCGTTTGAGTAAACGTCACCAAGTAGTCTGGTGGACCGAGACAAGGCGACGTGCCTCTGATGGAAAAACGACGACAGGGTGAAATAGAGAGGGGTATCACGAAGGGGATGCTGAGTGGGAGGAATGATGGGATTGTGCTTGGAGGATCGGGTGAGAAGATGGTATAGTTAGAGGATGATGACAATGTTTTGATAAGATGGAAGAATTAAGCTGGATAATGATGATGATATTTCTTGGAAGAGTAGAGGGAAGATGACGATATTGTTTTGACGAAATGAAGGAATGGAGATAATTGCATTTCTTGGAAGGAAGGGAAGAAGGCGCAGGGATGATGTCAACTGAAAGGAATGACTGAGAAACTGGTTGGTGAAGATGACATTGTTTTGGAAGTGTAGTGGAATTAATGCTAAACCTACCAGAGATTAAATTACTATTTTTAATCTTGTGATTTTGGTCACATGGATGCGTGATTTGGTATGATATTTCCTCTTATTCCATTTCTTGTTAGATTGCTCTTAATTGCTTTTTTCAGATGACATTGTTTTGGAAGTGTAATGGAATAAATACTGAACCTACCACAGATTAAATTACTATTTTTAATCTCTGATTTAAAATTCCATACTGAATGTTATTACTTTGGTCACTTGGTTACACATGATTTGTATAATATTTCCCCTTATTCCATTTCTTGTAGGATTTTTCTTAATTGCCTCTTTCAGTTAATGTAATTTTGGAAGTGTAGTAGAATTAATACCAAATGTACCATAGATTAAATTACTATTTTTAATCTCTTGATTTAAAATTCCATACTCAATGTCATCACTTTGGTCACTTGGTTATATGATTTATATAATATTTCCTCTTATTCCATTTCTTGTATGATTTTTCTTAATTGCCTTTTCCATCCACTGGTTAATTTGGCCGGCCCTGGTAGATTTAGTGTTATGTAGGAGAATAAAAACAGTGTTCCTTGGGAGGAGAAAAGGAAGACAAAGATGACAATGTTATTTAGGAAGCAGGAAATAAAAGTAACGAAGAAATGAGGAAATTAAAACCTTATTCCTTGGGGAACATGGAGGAAGATGAAAACGACAGCAATGTTAATTAAAAGGAGCGAAGAAGGCGAAGTTGACGAGACTGTCTGGAAGCAATCAGAAGAAAATAATGTTCCTGAAAAGAAGATGAAGATGATGACAGTAATAATTGACACTAATTGGAGGGATCGAATGGACTGAACTAGTCAAGGAAGACCAAGTTGTTCTGAAGGAATGAAAGAATGAAATTGGATAATGGGAACAATGTTTTTTGAAATGAAGAAAGGAAGATGGGGATCATTATATTACACTTGAAAAAAGGGAGAAAATGAAACTACTCAAAGAAAAGAACTTTGATTTGAAAAAGAAATCAAATCGATCAATGACAATATTTCTTAGAAGATACGAAGACAGATGAAAATCGCAATATCTATCAGAAAGAACGAGGGTGGCCCAGTAAATCGAACATGGTGTTTGCAAAAAGCAAAAGAATCGAATAAGAATACAACGTTCCTTGGAGACAAGAACGAGGATCGAGAGAAAACAAAGAAAACAATAATGTTTCAAAAGAATCGAGTTTGAAAGAAACTTCAGTGTAAACCAACTACAATTACATCGAAGTCTCTCCTAAGAAACAAAAGAGGATAAAGAAGATGGCGTTCCCTAATCTAAAAGAAAATCCCAGATATGCAAATACGTTGCTTAAATAAACATAAAAAGCACATAAACAGAAAGGACGACAAACAATCCAACAACTCCAAGAAATAGAGTTCATCATCTTCGAAAAACTCAAGGGATCAACTTAGCCAACAACCACGATAGCTTCCAAGAAAAACAAGAGAGACATAGTCTAAAAGAGATCAGGCC